AAAAGAAAACTATTATTATAAGATTGATCGTAACAATGCTTTTTACATATTATGGTAATTACTATGCCTAGTTGGCAACCGAGCCTAATTATGTGCCACCCCAATGCATATAATTGTGTCAAATAGAATTACGAAGCATACGAGTCTGTCACTTAGGCTCAACACGTTCTTAAATTATATATAGGGAGATGGTAAAGTGCTAACATATATAAAAGTTATTAATATTTATAATATATTGATAATTTAAGTTAGTCAAATTTTTGTAACTTTAAATGTTGTTAATAAGTCTGGACAAAAGTCCAAACCTGATGTTGAGATAGAGTCAGGAAACTCTTGCATTTATATAGGGGGAGGAATTTTGCAAAAAAGAAATAAAAGTATAAAAGAAACCTTTAAATATAAAATATACATATATATATGTTTGTATTTAGTTAAAATAGTAATATATTTCAAAATACATTTTGTTACTATATACGAAAGATTCTTTAAATAATTTTTTACTTAGTATCTTTATTTCTTTCGGTATTTTTTTCCTGTACCATCTATGGTGAGACTTTTATTTTTCTTTTAGGTAAAAAAGAATATAATGAATTGCAGACATAATCAGTAGCTCACTTATTCATACACCAGGTATTGGTGGATAACACAGCTAAACATGTTCCTACGATAAAAGAATAAAAAATACCTCTGTTGCCCTTCTTGAGGAGAGGGCATCAGCCTTCCAGTGTCCTTAATTTTTGTAGTGATGGCACTTGCCTTTCGACTTCTTCAGACCTCCCTATGCAACCATCGGAGTGATCACGAGCCTAAGAGCCACCTTGGCCTTCCCATCAGACTTCCTCTTCCGCTTGGACTTCTTAGATCCAGAGGTAGAGGGCCCAACCCACTCAGTCACTAGCGCTTGTGAGTTCTGACGAATATCATCCCCGCATCCACTTGGAACTCACTGAGAAGCTCCATTAATGAGAACGCAACTTGTTCATGTTGTAGTTCATACTGAACTACTCAAAGCTCTTGAGAAGCGACTGAAGCACGATATCGACCTAGGTTTCTCCATCAATATCAGCCCCAAGGACCTTTAGCTCATTGAGTTGAACCATCAGCTTAAGGACATGATCCCTCACGAGAGTCCCTAAACCATGAATGTGTCCATCAGAACTCGCATAGCCTTCTATCTGGTAGCCCTGGACTAGTGTCCAGAGAGCTCATTGAGATGGATGAGTATGTCATAGGCGGTTTCCATGGTCTGATGTTGATGCTGAAGCACATTAGACATAGATGCCATAATAAAGCAATGAGCTATCTCGTCATCTTTCTTTCATCTAGCATACTTCTCATTCTCAAGCTTAGTGGCCGCCCTCCTTCAATCATTACATTTGGGACAAGTAAGTTAATTTTCATTTAGAATGATAGGAAGAGGATTGCAAGACATGATGAATGAAGCATGAAAATTACAAAAA